CAGGCGCCGTGCCGCGGCCGCGACCCGCCAGGAACGATGCGAAGTTGTCGGATTCCTTCGGGTGCGACGCCCGGGTTGCCGGTCGGAAAAGTCACCGAGGGAGGCGCGGGGCGAAGCAGAACCGGGCCAGGTGGGTCGTGGGTACTCACTCCTCGGGCGAAGGCTCCTCCTGCCCGGCCGGGTCCTCGGCGGCCAGGGGGCGCGGGGCGGACGCCGGTGTGGACGCGGGTGTGGACACAGAGGCCCGGGCCGGGGCTATGAATCAACCGCGGGACAGGCGCCGAGGGGCGGGAGTTACGAGAAAGCCACGGGGAGGGCAGAGGGCCGAGGACTTTTGCAATTTCCCGTCTTGCTGCGCACTCTTGGCACTCCCGGGACCCACAGGAATTCTCCTCCTCTGGGTCCCGCGGGGAGGCGGCCGGGACCCTGCGGGAGGTGCTCCCGGGGGCGGGGAAGGAAGGGGGAGAGGCCCGGGAAGGAAAGTGGAAACGAAAACGCGGGCGGAGCCGAGGCCTCGCGGCCCGCGCGTCTCCTGCCCCGCCAGCGCCGCACCGTGGGACCCAGGAGGAGCCGAGGGACCGCCGAGACCGCTGGGCAACGCGGTGGTGGCCCACCAGGCCGCCTGACCTCAGCCAGACACCAGAACCTTGGGCTCCCCTGCGGAAAATCCTCCGCCAAAGTCAAGCCCGTCGACCACACTTCTGCGCCGGTTTCCATCTGTCCTAGAGAGCGACGCGAACGTGTTTGAATCCATTTCTAGGACCCCGTTTCTCCCCGCCCTGGGGTCCTGTCTGGAAATGCCCGCGCCCACAAATGCAACTTCTGCAGCAATCCCGAAGCCTTCTTTTCGTGAAAAGCAGCGTATGTGACAACGTGGTTTGCTTCTTTAAAAAAAATACCGTCTAATCGTTCCACTCTCTGGGCCTTTTGGAAAAGCATAAGGGACCTCCCTTTATATAGTGAAATACAACGACGTCCGGAGCGCGCGTGGAAACCACCTGAGAGCTAGAACAGACCTCCTTCCTTGTTCTGTTTCTTCCACGGCAAGGCGCATGCCAGCTAATAAGCGGTTAATCCCCTGAAACAGCCCTCTGGTCCAGTCGTGGGATATTTCTCCATCCTGACTCTGGAACTTAGAGCAAAGCTTTATCTCTTAAACTCACATTCTTTTCTGCTGACTCTTGAGTCCTTTTGAGACAGACTTGTGCTTTTAGCCAATTCTTGACCTAATTTCTGAGTCCACCTAGAACTCCCTCCTGTCATGGTCTCCCTTTTTGGGCCAGGCCATATGAAAACTCTGTGTGTTCATTTACAGTTTCACTTGTATCTTCACCTCTCAGAACTAAATACACGAGCCGCTGTGTCCAAGCCCCCCAGGACACTTTTCTCAGCGCTCTCAGGGATGTATCTCAGGTGGTGATCACACACAAATGAATGAACTTTTTAAAAAAAAGTCTCAGGGACAGGCAGGTAGCTTGGTGGTTAAGGGCACTGAACTGCCACGGAGCTGACTGCAGTTCGAGTCCCAGACCTGGTGGCTTGCTTTCCACTTTCTCTCTCTCTCTAGTCAAAATAAATAAATAAAGTTAAATAAAATAATTATTTTTTAAAAAAAGTCTCAGAGAGTTTGGTTATTTCCATCCACACCTCCTAGTACTGTGATCGTGGGATATTTCTCCATCCTGATTCTAGAATGATCTCTTATCTCTTAAATTCACATTCTTTGTGAGTTTACATGACAGCTCCCTTACATGATAGCCTTGGAGAGGTGAGTGGCTGTTTCTGGATCTGAAGGACTTGTCTGTCTGGATGTCCAGTAGTTCCAAGGGCTTATTCCTGGGATCTTGTTCCTGCTCAGCTAAGCCTGGTTTAGAGTTTGGGGACCCTGGAAGGTATTACACAAGGAAGGAAGCTCAGGGAGAAACCAAGAGTGATCAAATAGTATTGACCGTTAACGTCCTGCCTCTCTATTTATTCTCTTGCTATCTTTCTCTATCCTCTTCTCTTCACCTCCCCCATTCCATACTGTCTTATTCTCGTTAAGTACTTTCATTGCTTTCATGTCCTCCAATATTTCGCTCTCTACCACAGAGTGCAGACAGTCGGTATATATTAAGTGGATACATACAGTATCTTTCTCTCATAGTCTGGCTTACTTCACTCAGCAATAGATCCTCCATATCTGACCACTTTCTATCAAATGCCAGGGTCTTGTTATTTATCATATCTTAGAATCACTTCCTGAATTGACTGGATGGACCCAAATCATGTTAGAATTAATATTTAAAAACATTGCTCTTATGTTGGTCTATATTTTTTGTGCCTTCCCAACGTCATCCCAGGGATTGATTTTTTTTTTTTTAAGGACCTAGTACATTTAATGCCTAATGGTACCCAGAAGACCATGGTACAGAGTAAGTATTTGGTGATAATGAACAAAAGGCACTTTTCCTCTGAATAAATATATGGTCCTTTGCCACACCTCTCATTACTTAAGTTTTAGAGTCCATTATGTTAGTCATCTGCAAAGCCATGGAAACCCTGTCAAACCAAGTCTCCAAGGTTGGAAAATCTTTCTGATTCTATATTTCACTGAGAAGAAAAATTCTTATTTATAAAAATGACAGAGGTCTTCTTATAGCAGATGAGATTTCAAATAAAAATATTCCATATGAAGAATTCTATGAAGTAGAATTCTTTGGGCTTCTATGACAATCAAAGGAGACCAATTTAGTGCCCACCTAAAATACAACTATTTTTGCACATTTAAATATTTTTTAATGTTCTACAGTTAGTTGCTGGAACACCTGTAAATTTGTGATCATACCATTAGAGTTGGTATAATGGGTTGAATAGGATCCTCCAAATACCCATATCTACTCAAAACCTCAGAATATGACTTCCTTAAAAGCATTTTTGCAGATTTAACCAGGTCAACATGAGATTATATTCTGTGGCTTCTGTACTCATAACAACTGGGGAATTTGGACATGGATACTTAGGAAGGACACCCTGGGCTATAGGAACAGAGATTGGAGTTATCCTGCCTCAGGCCAAGGAGCACCAAGGATTATGGACAACCACCAGGAGCAAGGAGACAGGCACCCAGCAGATTCTTTTTCAGACCAATATATTATTGGTATATTATCACATTTGATATCTTTAAAATTTTTTTAATTGCCAGAGTGCATATGTGCTTGCTAGAGAGAAAGAGTGAGGGAGAGAGAGACACAGAGAGAGAGAGACAGAGACAAGGAGAGAAATGGGATATGGTCATGCCATAATTTGTTTGAAGCAACCCAGCCTTCCAACACCTGGATTTCGGACTTCTGGTCTCCAGAATTGTGAGAGAATCGATTTCTGTTGTTTTTAAACTATGCAATTTATGTCAATTTATGGCAGGAACCCTAAGAAACTTATACCTAAGCTGTGTCCAACAGTTTTTAAAATTTACCTGACAATAACTGAAATTTTAAAAAGCTTAAAAATACCAATGGTATTTATTAAGTTATTTATTAAGTTAAAACAGCCATCTTTGCTTAGCACTGATAAACACTACGTTGCAAAAGCAGGTATTTATTCTGCTCCCTTTAATACTCCTCTTTGATGTTCTCTCTTCCTTTTATGAAATGCAAGAAAACTCTCCACTGTGGCTCCATTCCTCTTATTTTCTTCCCCATCATCTCCTTGGGCTTCTTGTTTTTCACTTGCCTGTGAGATGTAGGTTTGTTCCAGGGCCCCATCCTTAACATTATTTTCTTAATCTGTATAGTCTCCTGACAGCACACCCACATCCAAACTTTCAGTGATTGCTTGTGCACTAGTTCCATTGCAGTAATTTCATCTGAGTTTCAGACCAATGTATCTGTATTTCAAATTCAATATGTCTGAGTTCAAACTCTTCACTTTTCCTCATATAGTAAAATCAACAATCCAACTTTTTTTTATTTTGATTTACCAGCGAGCGCACATGCACACCAAAGAAAAACAGAGGAGAGAGAGTAAGAGAGAGAAAGTGAGAAATCACCCACCATGGGGAATAGTTATGCCACAATCTCTTCTCCTTCATTTTGCCCTCCTTTTGGGATTTTGGGTGCTAGGCACACGCATAATGTGTTTCTCAAGCTGCCAGGTCTCAGACTCAAGCTGTGTAGTCAGCCATGTGGGATGTAGCTGCCTTAACCACCGTGCCAATGGCTGGTGCCCGAACAGTCTAACTTTTGACCTTTATTAAGGTAACGAGTATTCTCTGATCACTGGACCCCCAAATTTGGAATGATCATTTCGATCAGAAAGTCTCATATTGTAAGAAAGGTATGAGTGCAGTGTACTTCTATCCTGTCCAACTTCTTGGAGGAAAAATACTTCTGTAACGCACAAGTCTCTTTCTATCATCTATTTTAAATCACCCATGCAAATTGTGAAATACAACTATAATGCTATTTGTTCAATTACTGAAAATATCTATAATTATATGTTGGATGGTATTTGATTACCAGACTATTGGAATTTGAAGGGATTGGAAGTTTTGTGAAGAAAATGGCTTCTAAGCAGTGGATGTTGGTTTACAATTACCCTCATCTTTAAGAATTCTGTATCTTATTGGTATAGCATCACATTTGATATCTTAATTTTTTTTTTAATGTCCACAGTGTACATGTGCTTGCTAGAGACAAAGAGTGAGGGAGAGAGAGCGAGACACAGAGACAGAGACAAGGAGAGAAATGGGACATGGTCATGCCACGATTCATTTTCCTCCAGTTCTCCTTCCCACAAGATTTTGGAGACACACGTGCATATTGTAAGCCACTAAAGCCGGGATTCGAACTGTGGTTGGTCATGTGGGACATAGTTCCATTAACTAGTGTGCTATAGGGCTGACCCCACATTTCATATCTGAAAGATTCACTTTGAGGCCTTAGCGAGTGCCTCCTTGATTATGATTGGTG